CCCACACACACACACTCTCCATCAACACAACATTAATTCTCTTTCTCCCAGACTCCAGCCTCCCCCCCTCCCCCTTCCCTCTGCCCCCAACCCCACAACCTAGTTTTTCCCCACGTTTTTCCCTCCCCCCAAACACCTGTTATCAGCAAGACGCCAGCCTTTTACCTGTAAAATTCAGGTGCAAAACGAAGAGAAAGCGCTAACAGGTATTCCAGCCGGCCGCTCGCCCTCCTCGCGAGTTAGGGCAATATTCGATTACTCAGGGGGTCTTTTTCATCGAATCATTACAAAATATAATCGATAATTGACGCCTAATCGGTTGCACTTCCTCTCGTCTGTCCATTTTATTATTCTCTCTTTCTCCATCCCTTCCTGCAGAAATATTGTAACTCCTGTCTTGAGATCTTTGCCATTTTGAATTCAAAGATCATCTCATTGAAGGTTAAATAGCGATGTCTTGTCAGTATTGCTGTATGGTTCAGAGATGTGGAAAACAAACAAAGCAACTGAACAAAAATTAGAAATCGTTCCAGCAAAATGTCTCCGAACAATTTTGCTAATGGAATGGAATAATGAAGTATCGGAAAGATCTTGGATTGAATGCAATATACATTAATACGACCCCCCCCCCAAAAAAAAAAAAGAAAAAAAAAAAAAAAAAACTCCAACCACATCCAAAAAAAAAAAAAAGAAAAAAAAGAGAAGGAATATATTTAGGAGTAGATGTACATGTTTTGAGAGTGCCAGGAACAAAAAAGGGCTTTATCAAACATGGTACTGGAGACCAAATGGCAAAAAAAAAAAAGAAAGAAAAAGAAGCTTTTAAAAGTCTGCCTTAGTTTTAGTGGGAGCTTTATTTACATAATCAGGTCATATACGTACCGAAGATAAGAGGTGTTACTAGAGTAGAACATACAATCACAAGGAGGAGGGATAAGGACTAAAGAACGTCTGATAGGGGAAAAAGGGGAGCAAACCACCCAAGTGCACCCACCAACAACCCACTCTGGCAGCTGGCGATTGCAAATACATAAGGTCACATTAGCGCGTTGGACACATTAAACATTTTCAGTTTGGTAGGAATTAATTTTGAATTTTGCCCGGGTGGCGGCCCAAGCCTACTCGTATCGATTTTTGACCATCAACGGATCTTTAACGTGCGCAACTTGACCATAGGACCTCCGAGATTTTTCTTACCTACCATAAGATCAGGGGTGTGGATGAAAGTGTGGATGTAAGAAGGTGGAAGGAGTCAAGGAGAAGCAGAAGAAAGGCTGCAGAAAGAGTCAGGAGCCCAGAGAAGGGGGCAAAGGAGCTGAGGGGTGGGAGCAGGAAGTGGAGATGATAGCAGACGACAGAACAATGTTAGCGAGCAGTAAAAAAGGTGAAATGAGAGCAACATAGAGAAGAAAAATTCCCGTCGCTGTCGGAATCAAACCCAGGACCTATTGCATGAGAGGCAAACAGCATTACCTCTCGACCACCTGACTGCTCTCTATCTAGTAACGCGTCAGGTGTAGGCCTGCCTGACGGTACAAGAAGTTAGAGAGAAACTTAAGAGGGCAATAGACGACTAAAACTGCAATTTACCACGTATTGCTAGCTCACATGCAGTTCGCTCAGCTGGAAACGTAATATGACATCAACTTACCAAAAGTCCGTCTACTTTTCCTTTCGTCAACCTCTCCTCTACTTCTAATCTTTTTCCACATCCTATCATCCCCCCCCCCTCCTGGGCTCCCCAAAGCACACCATATCATCTTCTCCTCCTCTATCATCTATACGCAGTATCACGCCTTCTTCTTTTTAGTCATAGTAAGAGTTTTAAGACACTTGCAACACTACAAGTGCCGAAGATTGGAAATGTTACAAGAGAGTAATAAATACACAAAGAAGGAAGAGCGATCAGGACGAGAGATGTTTGATAGGAAAGAAGTAGTAATCTACACAAACATACACCAGAGCCTCCGCTAACCACCCGCTTTCCTCTTTCTCAATATGTCACAGACAAATCCATCCCTCCGATCATACGTTCCAAAATCACCCCCAAGTCAAGGATCGGAATCGTTCAATGTGTATCAGAAAGCACCGAATAGAGCTTCAGAACAAAAAAAAATAAAAGAATAAAAAAAAAATAAAAGTCATAAAAAAATAAACAGGTATCTTTTACGGCGGAGGACACTGCTCAATCCATCAGGAAAAGGGAGATAAATCGTGAACAGCTCACGGAGCCAAGCAGTAAGAATTGTATTACTTGCCGACCAGACTCTTACCAAAAGGTCTTGATGCGGAGAAATTTTCCCTGCTTTTT